TCAACGACGAGCAACAGAGCTCATTCATTGACGACCATGAATCAAGCCAAATGGTGATCAAGTTGCGAATTCGATGGGCTGCTCCTCTAAGGTCGAGCAACGGTCCAACCGAGCACCGCCAATGCCGAGATATTCACAGAATAAGTCAAGCAAAATCGGACAAGGTGATGGGTTTGATTTTTGCAAGAGCTTCAGAAGAGGACCGACCGAGCTACTTTATTGCTAGTCGACCGAAACGGAGGTGATTCCTAACTGAACAACGCAAGTACGACTGAATTCAAGGTTGACCAAGCAACATGAAGCGCAAGTCAGACCAAGCAAGGCCACACAGTGAGCAGCCCAACCTAGCTTTTAAGTTAGCAACGACGAGTGATTTACGACATCCTCCGAAGGGCCGAGTAGACTTGAAGACCCCATTATACACCAAGCATGGCAATCAAGTCCTGGCCCACCGAGCACTCCTATCAACAATGAGCAAAGCAAAAGAGCTCTGGGGGGTCAACCAAGCTATTTCCTTATTCTAGAGAGAGATGTGTAATGAGGCAAAGTGGCGGATCTGTCACGCATAAATTAATGAAGCCCTAAGAAGACAAGAGTTGATCGGCCCATCAAGTGTCAAGAAGAGGCGTGACCAAACAACAACAACAACACAACCAAACAGTGACTAAGCTTGGGCCCACCCAGTTGTTTCCTGTATAGCATTACCAAGCAAAAATATGTAATCAACCATTTTGTCTTTGGCTCACAGCAAGCTGAATCAAAACTTACAAACATGTGGGGTCCATCCATGTGCAAACAACACCAAGCAAACAAACATGCATGTCATGAACAAGCATGGCCAACCAAGATCAGAAGCGGGGTCCACGAACCAATGGGAACTGTTGAAAAAAAAAAAAATCAATTCACATGCAAACTGTTCTGAATCAAAGAATGCCAAGCTCAGTCGACCGAGCAACTCATCAGCAACAATGATGGACTAAACTAAATTTTGCATGGGTGGAACCAACAATCCGTGGAGCTCAACCAAGTTGTGACCGAGTTGTGAAACTATTTTCTATCGAGCCAAGTTGCAATAAACCAAACTTCAAAATCGATGACAGAGTTGGCTTCTACTTCGTTTAAGGTAAGTGTAACTTGGCCCAACACTAGACCCACATTGATGTGGGGCAAGCTTGGAGCTCGGCCCAATGACCAAACACTTGCTCCAAAGCAAGGTAGCTCGGCCAATGTTGGGCCCACTCCAAAGTGGGCAAGCTACGAAGCTCGGCCTAAAATGCAAGGCCTGCACTAAAGCAAGTCGAGCAACAAGTGGGCTTCTCTAACTAGAAGTCCAACTCGACAAGAATATTTGTTGAGCCTACAAAGACAAATATCTCCACTCCACTCCATCTATCTGAACAGAACATGGAGATATGAAGGCACAAAGGGATTAGGCGTGCACACGATAGACCTACACCTGAGTGTTAGGCGGAGTGATCGTCCTCTTCCAATGAAAAATGATCACGAATAAGACAAACATGACAAATGGAGGAGAGAGAAGATCTTGGAGGAAAAACAGCCTTCTCTTATTAAAGGTAAGCACTATTCACTCTAAAGGGATCCAAAATCGAGACACTCAATATATACACTCTTTGTCGTTCAAAAAAAATATATATATACACTCTTTGCATCCTCTCTTCTTCTTCTTCTTCCTTAGTCCCGGCTTTCCCATTGAAGGGGTTTCCGACCAAACCCGATTAGGCAGCCTCACCGTTTTTACTTGTGCTGACTTTTCTCCCCAAAATACATTGTTCTTCCACACTACCCTTCATCATGGTGTGGAAATCACCCCCGCACAATGGCGATTCAAAAAAATGGGGGCACGAACACAGCAGGGGACACGACAAATTTTTATTTTATATATATGTATGTGTGTGTGTATTTGCAATGTAGATTAATATCATGTTTCCAAACAATCAAAATTAATAAAAACTAACATAATTCCTATAAATTATAACCATTATAAATTTATTATACAATATATAAATTTGTAAAGAACTTTTTAAAAAAAAAAAAACGTACAATATATAATTATTATGCATAAATAGAGTATAATTAGAAGGAAATAAATAAATAAGGAAGAGATCATGAAAACCTGAGAGAGATAGCGACAGAGTGAAAATGAGAGAAACGATACGCAGATGAGAGACAGACGAGAGAGGAGAGACGAGGGGCGAGCCAGAGACTGAGAGACTTACCAAGTGGAGATCGAATAGAGATGGAGGTCGATGAAGGTCGATTGAGATGGAGCAAGTTCGATTGTCTTCGTCCGATGAATGGAGATCTACAATTGACTTTGCTAGTCCATGAACAAGAAGTTTGATTCTCTTCTCTCCCTTTTTTTTTCTCATTTGTTAGATTTAGGACCCACCGTGTCCCCAGCCATGTCCCATATCCACTACTATCTAACCACCAGGCACATCCCTAGGGGACGAACAAATCAATCTCGCTATGGCGAATTGTAGATAGGGATGACAATGGGGGTTAATGGGGTGGATATTAATTCCCCATCCCCATATAATAAATTTTCCCCATTCTCCATTCCCCATTCCCCATGGGTACCACCCTCCCTATTTCTTAATGGGTTTGGATTTTTTCCAACCCACTTTAATCCCCATTTTTATTTTATTTTTATTTTACATATTTAATGTTAACAACCACTTTTTTATTTATTTATTTATTTATTTTTTATTTTTTTTTTAAGGTTCACAACAAAAACTAAATATACCTTCAATCTTTTTTCTTTCTTTTTAAATATATTTAATGTTAACAATAAATTTTTTATATTTTTTTTAAGGTTCACAACAAAAGCTAAATATACATTCAATCTTATTTTATTTTATTTGGTTCAACAACAAAATCAAATACACATTAATTAATTAATTAAAAAGTTTGTTTTTTAATGATCAAATATATAATTTTGAAACAATCAAATAAGTTTTAGTAATTGAAAAAAAAAAATGTGGAAGAATGTGGAAGATTAAAAAAAAAAATTACAACCATCTCTCTCTCTCACTCTCACTCTCACTCTCTCCCCTACATATTATAAGAACCTATTTACAATGTTATAAAGGCCTGTTTGAAGAAATAAAATGTGAAAGAACCTGTTTGAAGAAAGTGTTATAAGACCCATATTAAATTGCATTAGGGCATAAACAAGGAATTGTTTGTTGATCTTTTAGCCACTGACATTTTAGACATTAAACCATCTTTCCTTAGCAAATTTGAACCATTCATTTTAATTTATCCAAAATCTAATTATACCTTTTAACAAATCTGAACCACTCCTTTTAAGATATCTATGCCTTACCACACCCAATCCATCCTCCATCTTCTTCCTTTAGTCCTCCACGCATTTTGTTGTTTGTTACTTTTAAAAAACAAAAAATATTTTTTCAATTAAATTTTTACTAATTTCACAACGCCATCACCACTATTCTCACCTTCACTATCACACTACCATCACCATAGCCACTACCATCATCATTGCCGCCATCACCCCACCACTATGTCACAATCTCTACTTTCACCTTCGTTCCATCACCACCACCACCAAATATAAAAATATATATTTTTAATTTTTTTTTATAAAAAATAATTTTCATTAAAAAATATTTTATATCTAAATAAATGAAGCATAACATTGGGAAACAAGCTGATTTCAATTAAATCTGTTCATAACTAAGAAAAATTCTTTTATTTTAAAAAAAATTATTTAGTAAGACTTTGTATCCCCTTTTTGTTTTTCCAGCAAATAAATCTTTGTACCTATGCTTTCTAACCAATCACAACTCATGCTTGTTTTGATTCTCTACAATTTTCTTATTTTCAAATACATTCATATATATATATATATATATGTTGTATAAATTGTGTGATAACATAAAACAAATAGATTCAAATTCGTTAATTGAAATTTCAGAACAAGCAAACCATTCTAAAAATTACAATACATAACAAAATAAAATAACATAGAAAAACAAACCGAAACCTGCACTAGATAGTGTCCTTAATTTTTTTTAAATAAATTTAAAAAATTCTAGATATTTATAAAATTTGACAAGAATAATGTGACAATGTTAATTAATGTGTATTTGATTTTATTGTTGAGCCAAATAAAATAAAATAAGATTAGCCAAATAAAATAAAATAAGATTGAATGTATATTTAGCTTTGGTTGTGAACTTTAGAAAAAAAAATTTAAAAAAAAAGAAGAAAAAAGATTGAATGTATATTTAGCTTTAGTTGTGAATCTTAAAATTTTTAAAAAAAAATAGTTGTGAACCTTAAAAATAAAAATAATAATAATAAAAAAGATTGGACGTATATTTAGCTTTGGTTGTGGATCTTAAAAAAAAAAAAAAAAGTGAACTTGAAAAAAAAAAAATAAATAAAAGAAAAAAGATTGAATGTATATTTAAGTTTTGCCGTTTGGGTTGGGGGAATTCTTAAAAAAAAAAAAAAAACATATGGGGAAATTAGTGGGTATCCATCCCCTGTGGATATTTGAAGAATATCACTTACCGTACCCAATGGATAAGAAAAAAAGGAAAAAACCCATATATTTGGGTTGGGTCTCGGTGGATACCCACAGGGTAGGTTATCCATTGCCATCCCTAATTGTAGAGGATTGGGCCCCATGATTTCATGGAGATTCACCTCTCCATTTGATGCCTTTCCATAAAAACTGTAGGGGAAATAAATTCACCACCCCTAACACTTTTCAACCTATAGATTTCATAGTACTTGGCAGGATGAAAGAGATGGGAAAACGAGGTTGGGAGGCGAAGGGCCTTGCTAAACAAATTGAGAAACAATATATACATTACTCAAAAGCTGAAATAGTTCCAACTGAGAGCAAACTGATACTCTCTTTCCAGAGCTAAATATAATGAAAATTCCAAAAACTATATATCTAAGAAGCCAGCCACAAACTCAAGATTAAAACATTAAAATGGTACCTTTTGAACCCACTTTGGACAAACGCAATCCTTTTAATACCAAATCATATGGAGATGGGACATCAAACTTCAAAGGCCCTGTTATCATCAACAGAGGTAAGGTTAGAAAATGATTACAGAAAAAGACTGATAAAATAGATAAATTATGCACTGTTAGGTCATGAAACGTTCCCTAATATGAGCATATTGACATTTTATCTCTACATATCAGCATCCTGTATCAGAATATGTGCAGACATATATTGAAATGGTAATGTTTTCGTAAGCTAAAAGCCCTATGCAATTCATTAGAATGTCCTTGGGTATTGCCAAGCTTACAGAAGCTATTGCACTCTTCCATCAAAAAATTGTCATTCCGTTGCTGAAAAGTTTTAGGCTTGTTGGGTGTCAGGCACGGCAATGATGCAAAAAGAGACCTGGCCATTATGGATGCTCCAGAATCTTTGCACATGCCATCAACTGCATGAAAAAGATATACTCTATAAAGGGCCCATGTACATGAGACGAAACCTACATTACAAGGATGCATCATGCCACTAAGGAGTCCATGCCTAAAATAGATGTGAGCTGCCTGTATATCCACTTCAAAAAAGCGGGTGGAAATGAAACATGACTAACACATATGTACTGATGTGACAGAGGGTGGAAAATGCAAAGAGAAGAGTGATCATCACATAAAATGTGGACAAGGGGCAATCCATGAAGCAGCTAACTTCTCCAAATTTAAGAAACTATACATCAAAATAGTGATAGAAGAATAACAAGATAACTCTTACCTGTGTTCTTATTTCCATTGCTGCAAGCATTACCCAAAGGAGTACGAAGAACCCAGCAAATATTGCATGCAGACATACCCTCTTATTATCAAATGTACAAATAGAGCAACACCAAACACCCAGTGTAATGTTTTCCTGTTTTGTCTCAGGTCCTTCAGCTGTTGCAATGAAGTACCCATCAAGAAGTCAACATATAAGATGCAAAACGCTTCACAAACCAAAGAGCCTTTTTAGTGAGACAACTCAACAGATATATTGGCATGGGTTTCGCACCTCGTCATATCAACAAAACACTACTTCCCTACATGCAGCTAGGTTTCAAGCCATGTTTGTTGATATTGTTCCTCAAAACATAAAGTTTTAAGCTTAACAAAAAAATAAAAATAAAAATAAAGAGCAAGAAGTTGCCATACATCATGACAGAAACCACATGGAAGTAACATTATGGGGAAATAGTATTCAAGAGACAAAAGAACTGAAGAACAAATCAATAAATAGATGGTCAAAGTTACGATTTTCATGAATCATTTCCAAGCCCACATTTCCAAGATAATACAAAAGACCCTCCAGCACATGTTTTAACACATGTATTATTGATTCATGAACTTGGCTTAGGGTGGTTTCCTGTGGGCCAAATAAGCCAACAAGCTTAGCTTTTTAGCTCTGCCAAATGATGCCTTAGAGCATCTAAAATGCTAATTGTTAAATTTGACATGCCATTGCCAAAATTTGGCAATGCTACATTACGAAAATGTCAAATTTTGACAAACTTGCTCCAATGCTACAAGTGCCATGTTTTGGCACAACAACCTTTTCCTCCATATTTTCTCATTTTAACCACTATTCTTCTAACCACCAACAAATTTTTAATTCATCTCTTCAAAATTGGACTGATTGCGCACTATGAAATTGAACAATTGCTATTGGACCGTTGCCTTAAAAGAATAAAAATGAAGACTTGTTTCTTCAAGTAGGAGCTTTGCTTAAGATAATCATAAAAAATCAAAAAAAGAGAGTATTGCACTGTCACGTGCAAGAAGAAGGATCTAGAACTCTTTATCACACATTCATCCTATCTATTATTGTCATGCCCTGATTTTTCAAAGATTAATTAGGCGGAAACTAATTAACTTAAGTGTGAGCTTTTTAAGTAAAACTCTCTTTATTATTTAGTTCATACTCGAAATCACTTTCCTTAGTCAATTCTCATTAAATACTCAAAATTAGGTTTGCCTCGTAAAACGTGCCCAATGGCCTCAGATCGGATGAGGTTGGAAAACATGTCCATTTTTTCCTTTATTGAACCTAACTTAACCTTAGGTGACAAAACAAGGTATTTTTGATAAAATTCGGCTTGCATTGAGAAACGTGCCTTTTGATAGCTTTTGAAATAATTCATTCTTTAAGTTCAAAAACTCCAATGTTGTCTCAGACACAAAACACATCATCACTTGACGCGCAAATCCATAAAATAAATTACGTCATGCAATAATGGAAATAAATATTTAAGTTAATAGGTCCTAAATTAATTAATACAATAATCTGACGAAAACGTGTAAAAGGTACACAAGCCCAAATTAACCTAGGGTCTATACTATTACTAAAAAAATAAACCACGTCCTGCCGCTCATGTCGGCGGGTGTCCATCGGTACCCACAAAATGTAGGGGCCGTGAGTATTGACACTCACCCGACAATGATGCCATTCTTACTAAGTAAACATGGTAGTATCATGACAAATAAAATTATAAAATGAAATGTCCAATTTTCGGATTAACTTACTTATTCTTATTAAGTAATTAACTCACACTAGGACAATTAAATAAAAGAAATAATCCGAAATCAATAACTGCCAACAGGGCAATTAACCCAGTCTCGCCAACACATACCTTATACCAAACCAAACAAAACCAAACTTTAAGTCCCATCAAATAAGGTCGGCTATATGAATCTTTCTTCTCCACTCTACTCTATCAAAGGCCATTTGGTTAGTCAAATTAAAAAGATTCATATCTCTATTTACTACACTAGGCCACGTCAACCTAGTTTTGCCCCTTCCCCTAATACTTCCTTCTACTGTCACTGTATCGCATCTCTTCATTACTACCTCTATTGGTCTCCGTTGTATATGACCAAAAAAATACCTTACCCAAGCCATAAAAAAGTACATAATCGGTCCAACCCTGATCACACCCCAAACTCCCTCCAAGTTGCGTGTTAGAAAGAAACTTCGTCCTCAACCACCAGAGGCTACTACTCCTTTAAACTGTGCAGTGTCCGTGATTCTAACCCGTAGATAGTTGGATCCATTATCTCCTCAAGCGTACTAGACCACAATATTGGCTATAAGCCTATAACCCAGGCCAAGCCCGTAAAATCAATAATACCGAGACACACCCAAAAAACAACTAAGTATAGTAAATACCAACACCGGTTATTTAATACTTACTTAGATTCCGACTATGCCATACATAGGCCTCATTTGGGAACAGGCTTTTTTAGTAACTTTTTGACTTTTTGGCTAAAATGTGATGTAAAAAAAATTAGTATGTTTGGGATGATTTTTTGACTTTTTACAAAAAGATGTGCAAAAAGTAGAGAGAAGGGAATCTTTGACTTTTTGATATGGGTTGTTGGCTTTTTGATTTTTTTAGTAACTTTTTGACTTTTTGGCTAAACTGGTCGCTTCCCAAACGAAGCCTTAGTAATATCCAACGCTTACCATTTTTTTTGTCAATAATGCTCTTTCTAGCCAATTTTACCTGTTTGCCCCTAGGGCTATAATAGTAATAATACTCTTAGTGTGAAATGACCAATATATCCCTACGGCATAATTTCACCAAATTACCCTAAAGTACTGATTACCAAAATGCCTTCAAGCATGAGATTAGCAATTTACCCTTCATTAATCCCAAGTTAATTTCCTACGTGGCAAATTTCAATAAAATAATCCAAAATGCACCCAAATGACTATTTTACCCCCAAAGAGTCAAAATTACCTTTTTGCCATTATAAGTCCCAAATTCATCAAATAATCCAAATAACTCATAAACGCATCTAAAATAATAAAATAGTCATGGAAACATATATTTTTAAGAAACTAGTAAGCGAAACTAGGGTAACAATCATGGGGAAAATAATAAATCAACACTAAATCACACCATCTTTTAGACTAACTCAATTTAACCCGTGATTCATTTTCCCCAATTTCTCAACACTTTAAATATTTCTCAAAAATTCAAAGTTGTCCAAATCACATGTCCTTTATACCATAAGTCATCAAACATGCCATAGATTACACTTTTTGAGGTTTGAACAAAAAGCCCTGAATTAATGAAATAATACTTTTCATGATTTCAAGATAGGTATGACAATATTGTATTCAAAGTTCATGAAATCGCATAATAAGAACACTTTTAGAGATTTCAAAGCAAAAATCCAACTCTAACTTAAAAGTGTCTCAAGAAGGCATAAATCAACTAAATAACTCATAATTTACAACAAATACACGCTAATCATGCTTCCATAGATAAAATCATGTCATAAATTTTGAAATAAAAATCCTAGCATGCTTTCTAAGCAAGAGATGAGAAAACCCCTACCTTTACTTGAAGCTTTCAAACAAATAATGAGGAAATGAGGTAGAAAAGGGAGAGATGTTCCAAGAACAAGCTTTGTCCGTCAACTTTGATCTTCAAAACACACTAAAAACCACTTCCAAGTCTTCTAATCACTCCTTAAAGTAAGGTTCTAAGCCTAAAAACACAAGAACACTCACTCGTTTAGACAAAGAAGGATCAAGGCAAGGGTTTTGTGAGAGAATTCTAGAGAGAGAAGAGTAACGTTTTGGGGGATGAATTGGCTGAAATGAGGGCTTCTCCTCTAACTCAACCCCCAACAACCCTAAACTAACCCTAGGTTAACCCTTAACCAAAGTTGTAACTAATGTCTAAGATTGAATCTTGAAAACCCCTCAAATCCGCGCCCAAGATTCAAAAATCATATTCATATATATATATATACATATAAAACAAGGTGGTCAAATGGCCCATGTGCCTACATTTCCCAAATGGTGAAACAGAAAGGTGTAAGTAAAACCCAAGTGTTTGTAGGCATTATTTGAGGTAAAAAGGACAATTGGGAGAGAGAGAGAGAGAGATATTCAGCTGGCCCTCTAGGATCCCCAAAAAAAATTATATTTACTTAGTTCAAGGGTTTTGTGCTTTCCCCAAAACCCTAGCTAAAAGCTGTATAGTTTCGGACACAGAAAATGCACAATTTCTGTACTAGAATAGCATGAAATTCATAGGGATAACTACAATAAATAAAACATACATAAATAACACAAAATTAATAATTCTTAAGCCTAAAGAATCCATCTTTTGAATCTCATGGCAATTCGGGCCCGGGTGCACGCAAATCCAGACAATTGTTGCACTACCTTTCTCAACACGCAATTAAATTCTATTTGTACAAGATTGACCATAAGATCATATTAACACACTCTACTAGGCTTAGAGAGTCTGTCCCTTGAGTCCTAAGTTGGCTCTGGAATCGACGCAAGCAAACCGAGATGATCGGTTGCGCAGAAAATTAGCCAACAGAGATCTAAATTGAAATACGTAGAGAAACTCGTGATCTAAATTATAATTAATTAAACTTCATTAGGACTCAATTAAATTAAATTAAAGTTCAAATTTTTCCCGATCATTACAATTATCACACCAGCAATCCAAACAAAATTGGATTTATGGGTTAAAACCACATCACAAATCACCCTTCCCGTTGCCACACCTCATCCCCTTCCAATCCCACATCCTTGGAAACACCCTTCCGATCTCTCATGGATCTGAGAAATCAGTGTGGTTTGGCGATGGTCAATGATTGACAGTGCAATGGTCAACGGTGGTCGATGGTAGTGATCCTCAATGATGGTGGTCTAGTGTTTGGTTGGTGAATGTGAGTCTTCTCTCTCCTTTTTTCTCCACTCCTTATAATAAATATTGTGTATATAGTAAATATTGTGTCATGTTTTTTTTTTTTCCTCCTAAGAAGAATAGATGAGCAGTGGTTGGTTGATGAGTTGGCAGATTACAAGATATAGTAATGCCAAAATTTGGCAACTTGAATGGCACTGCATTGGAGCTCTTTTTAATATAGCAGCTCAAATGGCAGTTGCATCAGAGATGCGCTCTTAATTGTAGAAATAATGGAGGAATTATTTTCAACAAATATGACTAGATATTAAATTTAAGGACCTAAAACAAATATAAAAATATTTTCCAAACCATAGTAACGATGTAATTTGCGTGAAGCCCAAAAGTGTTACAATCTATGAAACACTAACACTTCAAAACAAGTGTAGTATCCATGCCGGACACGCGGACACGGCGGGGACACGTATTGACACGCCAAATGGTGTGTCCCCTTATTTAATTAATTTATTTTCAGGAGACACAAAGAGGACACGTCAAGGACAACTAGGGACATGCCAATTTGTCTTTTCATCCATTTTCTTTAGTGTTTTTGATGAATGTCAAATGTTTATTATTATTTTTATTAGATTTAAATACTTAATAGATCATCAATAAAAAAAATATATAAACTATAAGTGTAAATTTAAAAGTGTTTTTTTTTAAAATATATAAATAGAATTAGAGTTATTTTTGTTAATATTAATTCTTTGTGGATGTAATACTAATCTAGATAGCAAATAAAAATATATGAAAACATATTTTCTTGCTATGTCCCGGCCGTGTCCGTGTCCGTGTCTGTGTCTGTGTCCCTATTTTTTTGAAATCGTCGTGTCCCGTGTCAGCATCCGTATCTGTATCCATGCTTCTTAGATTACAGTGTTTGATGATCCCTTCTAAGTGCCAAAAACTTAAAACTTAGCATGTTTGGTACGAATGAATGGAATGAAGGGGGGAATAAAATGAGAGTGAGAATGGAATACAAGGTTGAATGGAATGGAATGTCCATTCTCATTCCATTGTTTGGTTGCCCACATGGAATAACATAAGAATATAATGATAATTTTCATTCTCGTGTTTGGTTATACCTATTAAACTAATGAAATGGATTAAGTTTTTATTTATTATTTATTTTTTTAATAAGCTAATAACAAACAAGTTAAAAATTCATATAGATCGTAATAGTGTTGATAGTTGTGGATGTGTTAAGTTATTGTAGTGGCAGCGGGGGCATCAATGGTGGAGATAGAAGTGGTAGTAGGATGATGGTGTGCGGTAGGTCATCGTGGCGGTGGTGGTGGCAGTGTTGTGGTGGTTGTGGCAGCGATAGTGGTGGTGGTGGTGCGGTTTTTGATGAAGGTGGTGGTAGTGGTGATAAGGAAGTGGTAGTGGTAGTGGTTATGGCAGTGGTTGTGGCAGTAGTGGTGGTGATAGTGGTGACAATGGTAGTAGGATGGTTGTGGTATGATGGTTGTGGTATGGTGGTTGTGGTGGTAGTTCTAGCGGTGGCGGTGGCAGTAGCGGTGATAATGTAGTGGTTGTGGTGGTAGTGATAGTGGTGGCAATAGGGTGGTGGTCGTGGTGTTGGTGGTAGTCGTGGCGGTGGTGGAAGGGGGTGGTAACAGAAAGAAACAGTGGTGGTAGCTAATTGATAATACTTATAATGATTCTAAGATGGAATGGAATGAAATGGAGGCAATGGCGTTCCCACATTTTATTGCGTAGATAAACCGTACCAAACAGGAAAAAAGAAAAGGCAATATAGTGGCTTCCTGTTGGTAACCGATCCAAAATTTTATGACGACATTGAATAATAATACCAAATTGATGTTGAATATATTACATGCCCTCTTCATAGAGAAGTGACCAAATAGTTCCCAACTATGAAGCACTGACACTTCAAAATAGGTGTCATAGAAGTGTTGGACACATGGACACGGCTACAACACTGGGGGACGCAACACATGGCATGTCCCTTTATTTAATTAATTTGTTTTCAAGGGACACATAGGGGACACACTAACTAGTTTTATCCCCCTCTTCTTTAATTCTTTTGATGGATGTAAGATATTGAATGCTCATTATTTTTTGCTTAGATTTAAATAATTAATAGATCCATAAAAATGATATAAACAATGAGTTACCTTAAGAGTGAGTTTTTCTTATTATATTGAATTAGTGATTGATTTTGTTAATTTTGATTGTTTGTGGATGTAAGATTAATCTACATAGCAAAATAAAAATAAAAAATTATTTCCATGTCCTCATTGTGTCTGTGTCCCTATTTTTTGGAAATCACTGTGTCCTGTGTCCCTGTCCGCATCTGTCCATGTTCGTGTTTCTTAGCTTCCAAATAATGGAATTGGCTAATTGGAACATCCATACACCACACAAAAGGGCACTTTAGATATTTAATATCTATGGTAAACTACTAATAGATCCTAATAGTTAGATTGAATTCCCATCAAGTCCTATTGAAAATAAGTCCAAGTAAAATCATCACTAAAAATAATTTTTTGGAACGATTTTTTGCATATGGCTAAAACTATTGACAATTAGTGCCTTTTTTTGCCACGATTTTTATAAATTGTTACTAAAACTTACAGTTAGTGACCTTTTTTTGTGATGAATTTTTCAAATTATCACTGAAAGTTGAAAATTTATAACTTTTTTTTTGTGACAATTTTTTTAAACTGTCACTAAAACTTATGATTAGTGACATTTTTTGTGACAATTTTCAAATTGTCATTGAAAATTAACAATTAGTGACGTTTTTAATAGTATTTGATGAAAATGCCATTAATTATCATAGGACCTATGGGACAAAAAATTCACCTATTAGAACCTACACGCAAGTCCCTAACATCTATCTCTATGTAAGTTTCAATACTAGTGATGGTTTCATTAGGTCTTTACAATACAACTAGAGTACCTCTTATTGTATGAAGTGAGTTTGATAAGGCATTATTGATACCACTTCAGTTATATATATTTTATGTTACTTAATAAGGGGCTGAATGTTCTGATAAGGAGGGTTTGAATTTCAAATAAAAAAGACTACTTTCCATTTATCAAAAAAAAAACAAAAACAAAAAACAACTAGAAGGTAGTCATCAAATTTGAATTGATAAATTTATCCCTGTACATTAATTAACCAACTTGAAACATTCAGATCTGTTTATTCGTTAAGTTCTTCTTAACTTTTTTGTTTAAAAAATCGAGAGGCTTAGGGGTTGGTTGTATGGTTGCGAGTAGCAGTAGTAGGGGTATTTTTATACTTTCGAATCTCTCTCGATGCATATCATCTTCCTGTACCTTTAATTTCATGCTATTAAATGAAATTTCTCTTTGTTGATCAAAAAAAAAAGTGATGGTTTCATTAGGTCTTTACAATACAACTAGAGTACCTCTTATTGTATGAAGTGAGTTTGATAAGGCATTATTGATACCACTTTCAGTTATATATATTTTATGTTACTTAATAAGGGGCTGAATGTTCTGATAAGGAGGGTTTGAATTTCAAATAAAAAAGACTACTTTTCATTTATCAAAAAAAAAACAAAAACAAAAAACAACTAGAAGGTAGTCATCAAATTTGAATTGATAAATTTATCCCTGTACATTAATTAACCAACTTGAAACATTCAGATCTGTTTATTCAATACTGCCATTTAAGTGTCATCATCAAACAGTCACAACTTTCGGTTCCAAAAAAGGAATGTCAACTCCAAACAACAAAGGCCATGGGAAAAATGAGACGAGGGAGATCGGATAGGATGGAGAAGGAAACAAGAAAGAAAGACAGAGAATTGCTTTTACAGATGTTTTCTACTTCAATTTATGCTCCAATGCTTCCCTTTTCATCTTTCCCTTTAACCTATGATGCTATTTTAGTTAGAGGCCTTCAGAATCTTAATAATAAGTATCACCATATAAAGAACCCCTTATCAGCAAGCCAGCAAGGTTTTAACTCAAGCCCAATGATTTCATCCCTACAATCCTGAAAACATCTTAACATAGAAAATGTAGAAAGAGTCCATGCTTTTTAGCTTATGTAGTTACGTAAAATAGTAAAACAGTAAAGTAGCAAATTATTAACCATGTACTCAATGCCCAGAGTCAAGCTTTATAACGATCTCAAAATAAAGTGTAATAAGGAATGCTCCAATTGAAGTAAAATGTGCTGCCCATTGAGACGATAAAGTAGAAGGCCATGTAACTAACAGGGTCACTTACAATTTTCTTGTACATCAGAATCATAATCGTAATCTTCATAGACGTCATAATCTTCATCATAGTCAATTCCACAATTTACTTTATGAGGCATGGTCCTAATCTCTATCAAATCTGAAAGAAAGACACTCAATTAGACATGCATTCGTTTGGCAAGTTAAATCTTAGTTCAAAATAAAATAAACATATATATGTAAAACAGAAGCTATCTCAACTGCCAAATAACACTTTATTAAATAGAACAAGTTGCATCCAACCAGACACTATCAAGCTGATGAGGACACCACCACTACAAGAACATGATTTTACATCTAACGACCTTGCACTAGGGAAACCTTTCGTGGGGTTAATTAATTCATCTTGGCATCCAAAGAAATTCTTAAGTTATTTAGGTACCAACCCTCATGAAAGGCTGGGGGCTGTCACACAAGTACAGTTAATAGCTGGGAAATATTATAGCCTCGTCATCTATGAAGCACAGATACGGATATGGATATGGGATACACAATAAGGGATATGGATACGGGATATGAATATGAATATAGAAAAGAGGCGATACAACAAAACCCCAAAAAAGATGGATGCAGGTACGGCCAAGATAAGTTAGAAAAATTTAAAATTTATAATATTATATAATACATAAACACAAAGAATGTTAAGATTGATTCTACGAGAATTAGGTAGTATTAGGTATTAATTTAAGAGTCAGTAGTCAATTTTTTTCGATGGGTCCTATAAAAATTTCAATTTAATATCAAGTCTAAACTATTTATATTGTCCATGTGCATTATACTTTCACCCTTAAAAGTGGTATATGTAAAAATATTATATGCAAATTTACTTCCTCATTTAATTATTGAAACAATTTTAGTATCATTACATTTGTTTTATCCTTACTTTATACAAAGTACGGACATAGATATAGGACACATGTATGACACGTTAAGCATATGTTAATTCGATAAAATTTGAAAAACTAAGGTACTAGTCTAATCTCACTAGTTTCTTCTATCATAAGAAATAAGAAAAATATTGGGAAAAAAATATTCTTGTATTTATCATAATAATTTTACTCTAATGCAATGCAAGAATTATTACAATCTCAATTCATGAATTGTAATAGTTCGGAAACATGACCTACAAATTAAAGATAATTATTATCAAGTGCCCTAGTAAAACCAAAAAAGTATCCAACCCTTCTCAAAATTAAAAAAATAAATAAATATAAGTTTAGGAAGTAATCAGATACATATATGAAAGTATCCAATACGGATACTCCCTATCCGTGCTTTGTAGCTTGTCATCCATTACAAAAGTTGCACACAACACAACCAAAGATTTAATTGAGGTTTTGTATAAAGTTTCCTTTACATTTCTACTCTTTCACATTGACAACAAACTTAAGTTGCATCTATGAAACATGGGTACTTCAAAATACAGGTCGCACTCGTACTGGATACGGACCGGCATATGATACTTTGTATAGTACTTCTGCATACGTACCGAGTACGCGAAATACATACTCAAATTTTTTCTTCTAAATTTTTGATGTACCCAAACGAACCTAGCATATTACCTAAGCCGTACCGTACCTTAGTGGAAATAATATTTTCTTCTACTACAGACATAAAATTCCTTTCACTAGACTTCTTTTTTATTTTTAATTTTACGCTTAGCATGATTTTAAAATTAAACTATGGTTTATAAGTTATCTAATATAATAACATTTAATTTTGATTTATACCTTTACTTTTAGCATTAAATATTAATTTTAGATTGAATCTTAATAAATTAAATCATTTAATCAATTTTTTCACGACTCTAAATTAAAAATAAATATTTTTTTACAAACGTACCAAACCGCATCCGTACCCTAATTTTTTGAGATTTTACCATATCAACCTCCCGTATCATACGGGTACTCATACCCGTGCTTTATAGAGCTGCATCACATGTCTCTCTCTCTCTCTCTCTCTCACAGTAACTAGGGAAAAAATAAATGCTTATAAAGCAATTTGAAAAGTTTCAGTGGATCTGATAAACTAAATGCAGTTGATAATACAAAATTAGGCAACAATTAAAATTATTGAAGAATATCAATTATTAAGTCAAAAAGAGGTCAAAATGAACGCTGAACATGATTTCTATTTCTATTTGTATATAATAATTGATGTAATCGAAAGTGTATCAGGATTACCCCAGTTACTGTATTGGAATTCGCTCTCTTCTTCTTCTTCTTCTACTACTACTTTTCTATTTCTACATCGTTTAGAATCAGAGCGATCTGAGCACAAGCAACGACAACGCAACACATCATTGCGGAATGACCAGGCGTATCACTTTCTCCAATGCCATCGCCAACCACTCTTGTCGACTTCTTTCAAAGGAACTGCTGTTGTGTTGCAGGAACCCTAGCCTTCGAACGATCGTCGGTTGCGAAGAAACGTCTGAAACACATGCAGGGGGCATATGGAGATAAAAAATAACCACGGATGCACGTGCCACTTGTAGGCGTGTTTGGCAAAAGTTTTATTTTATTTTATTTTTGGGGTTAAAATTTACAAAATGATAAAATAAGTTAAAATAGTTAATAAGATAAAATGTCACATCAAATTTATAATCATTTCACTTTTTCTTTCACAAACATCACATCCAACTATAACAAAAATCTATCTATCTTCTCAAACACAAAAAATTTAACTTATTAAAATAGTTAAAAACTAAAATAACCTACTAAAACAACAACTTCTCAAACACCCACTGTATCTCACAATCTTTCAATTATTTCAGATTAGCAGGCCGGTCCTGAATTATTAGGAGTTAAAAGGAAAAAATTTTAAATTGGGTCCTTCAAATATCATTATTAAAAAAAATTGTTTTGGATAAAATAAAAATGATAAAAATTTATTTGTATTGCATTATAGGCCTCGTTTGGGAAGTGACTATTTTAGTAGGCTATTTGGCTTTTTGGCTATTTTAGTGGCTATTTTAGTTTTTGTGTTTGGGAAGATGAGATGATTTTTTAATTGAGTTATTGTATTGAAAAGTGTGTTGAAATGATGTTTAAATTTAAAATGACAGATTTATCCCTAACTTTTTATTTTTTAAAATTGATATAAAGGGGCAAAATGGTAATTTCGCCCTTGCTGCAACACTGTTCGGCTGTGCCTACACTGTCTGGCAGCAGCCTATTTTCTTTTTTTTTTTTTTTTGAAAATCCATGCACGGTGTTGCTTTTGGGCTAAAAAATCAAATGAGGCTATAATAGCCTAATTTTCGGAATCCCAAACAGCGCCATAATTAAACAAAATTTAGATAACAAATATATGTATGCAAATATATAAAATAGTTGAACTTCAATTAGTTGATCGAATCTTTATTTTTTAGCTTACCAATGCTATAATAACTAAAATTAATTAGGGGTAAGGATGAGAATTTTCGACATGGAAAATGAGTTGGACCCCCTCAAGGAGACACCCCCTTTGACCCCCTCTCTTTCTGATTGGCCAATTTTTCTTTTTTCTTTTTCTTTTTTTCCATCTCCTCCAATCACCACCCGCCACGTGTGTGTGGGGATGGTGGGGGTGGTGATTAAAGGGGGTCTCAATCACTTCCCTTTTCGACATAACTCAAGCAATATATAAAATTGGCAAGTTAGAGTTGACTATTTTTCAACATAAATCTAAGTATGACACGACTCAGTAACATAAATTACTAGTTACATATTTTAATGTTCATTAAGAAATGCCATGACATTTTGTTAATCTTTTATTTAACTCCATCTAACTGAATAAAAAAAGTATGCAAAATAATAATTAAAGCTAATATTTTTTTTTTCATTTAAGATATGTATTTTTTTGTTACATATTTTAGAGTCAATCTAGTAAAAAATATAAAGTAATAAGGTATAATTTTTTTAATTAGAAAAATGCAATTGAATTAAAATTAAACATTCTATAAATAATTTTATTTAGTAGAGATAAATTTTATAAAATTCAACTTATGAAAAAAAAAATTGATCTCTCCATACGCTTGCTAAGTTATTTTTAACTAAAAGTGAGAGTTTTCACATTAAACATTAATCGAACACGAATTAAAATAACACCATACGACAACATGAAAATAAATGAATTGAGTTAATAAAATTTGGAAACTAGAGAGATGTGAATAGGCTAAACACTAAAAATAATTTCACTTTTAAAAATTACTTGTCAATTAACTATTTCAATTTTAGATTAACGGTGATAACAAATCACATAAATATAATGGTGTTACGACCCCATTCCGCCCCTAGTAGAATGGTGCCGTGATGGCCAGTAATCTGAGATTACTAAAGGCCAACTTGCAAAGATTCACACACAATCAGAGTATACATATGGGGCTTACATGTGCGGAAGCAATAAATTTAAAACTAAATAGTCCACAAGAGCTGTGCATAAATCAAATGAAATGACATACATCTTAATATAGCTTACAACTTGGATACAATAAAATAAAGTACAAAATACATCTTGATCAAAAGGCTTCTCAAGTTGACATATACAAAAGAGATAAGTACAAGCCAAGAAGCATAATCTTCAAGATGCTACAAAACATGAATCAAAAAACATCTTGAAACAATCATCTAGGCGTCACCGCCTTCCTGCTCGTCACCTACATATATATAGAGAGGGTGAGCTTGGATACTTAGTGAATAATACTAGTAATAAAGGCTTTGCATGAATGATATTCAAGATCTCTTTTCTAAACAATATATAGCATACTATACAAAATCAAGAGATGAACCAAGTCCATCAATCAAGTCTTTCAAATCTTCAAGGGATGCTTACTAGCATCAATATAATACAAGGGATGACATTAAACAAAGGTGCTACAAAAGCTTAGAGTCCTCTAGCACGTACGGACTTGTGCTACAAAGGTTTAGAGTCCCCTAGCACGTACGGACTTTCCAAGAATGTCATCCAAAACAAGGCTAATACTTGATACGCAAAATAGGGGTATTCATTCATGCTTAATAAATACTTTCTCCAAAACAAAGCAAAGCTTTATCAAAACTTTATAACATAACTATATTAAAAATACCACTCACATAGCTCTTCGGGTGAAGGGATTACAAGCAAGGATCCAAGGCCTACAAGCACATAATAAATCCCATTGAATGCATTTCAATAAGACAAGATGAGATGCTCAAAGATGGATATGAAATGCATCCTTAAAACAAGCTTTACATGACAAGAAAGGATCTCGGCATTTCTTTCAAAATCAAGCCAAAACAAAGCAAAACATACTGGGAGTTACAACACTGCCTTTTTATCTTGGGAAAACATGCTGAGTACTAACCAGGTCTAGGCCGAGGTCCCACACCTCTTGGCCGAGGTGTGTTCCCGACGACCACATTCAAGGAAATGAAGTCTGGGAAAATCTGGGTTTCCCTCTTGAAGATCATGAAGAGCATGAATGCTCAATTCATAACTTCTTTATTCGAAATCTGAGTTTTCATGAGATGAGTTTGAAAACATGGACCTGGGTACCCATACTTGAAGATCTTATGAAAAACAAACACAAAAACATGGATCTTGTTACAAGCTTTCGGATCAAAACATGGTTTTATCTCAAGAACACAAGAACATCATTTTCTCTTTCTAGAACAAACTTTAAATCAATGCATGGTTCATGAATCATGCTAGATCATGCAATGCAATCGGATCAACATCAAGAATGACAAGAGTAAATCAAGATTCTAACCTCAAAACACGGATTCAACAGCTCAAACTCTAAGGATCAGGCTTGGGATCTAGCTTTCTCACTCCAACTTCCTCTCCTCTTCCTAGAGCTTCTCTCTCTACCATGCAAGAGGTATGACACAAAATGATATGTTTCTAACTTTGCCGGCTAACTTAACCCTCTGCTGGGACACGTGGCAACGGCTGGTTGGATCTCCTTATAAAGGTGATAGATTGATATGACAAGAGCATGACAAAGTGTAAGCAACAAGTAAGGTGACATGGGCACTTCGGCGGGTAATGATCTGAGCTAGGACAAAGCTTCGGGAAGTAAGGTCTCAATGATCTCGGCTAGGAAGGACAACACTTGGCCTAGCTGTGCCACACCTTAGTCTAGGTCGTACTAGTCCAGGGACAAGATCACTTTGGTATAACATCTCGGCCTAGATAATACACATCTCGGCCCTGGGTGATGAACACCTCGGCCTAGATAATGACATCTCGGCCAACATGTCAAGGTGAGGGTGGAGGTCAACCAAGGTGGTTCCAAGATGGTCCTAGGTGTAAGAAGTTCAAAGGTGTAACCTAGGCTTAAGATGACCTTGGCTAAACTCACACCTAGCAAGGAACAAAACATACAAGCAACACTTAAACGAAACTAATCAAAATTTGCAAAGATGCAAGCTTAATCAATGCAAAGATCATGCAAAAATGTACGTAAGTGTGACTAGGATAAGGTGAGGGTTGCTACATCCTTCCCCCCCTTAAAGAAGTTTGGTCCCCAAACTTGAGTTAGCTTGCCCCACAAACAACTCCGGTTGTCAGATTTTCATTTCTTCTTCCATTTCCCATGTAGCATCCTTGCCATAATGCTCCTTCCATTCAACCTTCACCATCAGTATTGACTTGTTTCTCAGCCGTTTCACTTGTCTATCGATAATTCTCATCGGCTTCTCTTCGTAGCCTAAATCTTCATTAACCACGATCCCAGAATGATCAATCACATGCGATGGATCCCGAATATACTTCCTTAATATGGAAACATGAAACACATTGTGGACTTGGCTTAATTCTGGTGGCAAAGCAAGTCTGTAGGCAACTGGGTTAACTCTTTCAAGGATTTCAAACGGCCCAATGTAACGAGGTGCCAACTTACCTTTCTTCCCAAATCTTGAAACTCCTTTCATCGGTGAAACCTTCAGGAATACATGATCCCCAACTTCAAATTCCAACTCTTTTCTTCTCTGGTCGGCATAGCTCTTCTGTCGACTCTGAGCAGTTTTGATCCTTTGTCGAATGAGCTTAATCTTCTTGGTTGTAACTTGAATTAGCTCGGGACCAATTAATGCTTTATCTCCTACTTCAGTCCAACGTATCGGCGATCTGCACTTTCTTCCATACAAAGCTTCATACGGTGCCATGCCAATGCTGGCTTGATAATTGTTGTTGTAAGCGAATCCCACTAGCGGCAAATGCACCTCCCAACTTCCTTTGAAGTCCAATACACATAGTCTAAGCATATCTTCAAGTGTCTGAATTGTCCTCTCTGTTTGCCCATCGGTCTGGGGAGGAAAAGCTGTGCTAAACCTCAACTCGGTTCCCAAAGCTCTTTGTAGACTCTGCCAAAATCTAGAAACAAACTTCGGATCTTGATCTGACACAATGGACATCGGCACTCCATGAAGTCTAACGATCTCATTCATATACAACAAAGAGAGTTGATCGGCATTAAAGGTAGTCTTAACAGGCAAGAAGTGTGTTGACTTAGTTAATCTATCGACTACAACCCAAACTAAATCCATACCCTTCTGTGTCCTCGGCAAACCAACCACAAAATCCATGGAGATGTGCTCCCATTTCCACTTGGGAATCGACAAAGGTTGAAGAAGTCCTGCTGGTCTCTGGTGCTCTGCTTTCACTTGTTGACAATATAGGCACTGAGATACAAACTCGGCTATTTCTCTCTTCATATTTGGCCACCAAAAAGTCTACTTCACAACTTGATACATCTTGGTGTTCCCTGGATGTACTGCAAATCTGGAACCATGAGCTTCCTGTAAAATTCTTCTTTTCAACTCGGGGACATCGTCCACGCACAATCTTCCTTCAAACTTAAGTACCTGATTCTCAATGGCGTACCCTGATCTCGGCTTGGTGACAAATTCACTAATCACCCTTTTTAAGAATTCATCCTCTATCTGCCTGGTCTTCACTTCCTTAATAATAGTCGGCTCCACTGAGATCATTGCCAAACATGCCAAACTCCCAATTAATTTCCTGCTTAAAGCGTCGGCTACTGAGTTTGCCTTACCTGGATGATACTGAATCCGCATGTCGTAATCCTTCAATAACTCAAGCCATCTTCTCTGTCTCATATTCAGTTCTTTCTGAGTGAACAAATACTTCAAACTCTTGTGATCTGTGAAAACTTGGCCAGAAGCTCTATACAAGTAATGGCGCCAAATCTTCAAAGCAAATACTACGGCTGCTAATTCTAGATCATGGGTAGGATAATTCTTTTCATGAGGTTTCAATTGATGCGATGCATATGCTCTAACTTTACCCCCTTGCATTAATACACAACCCAAACCCTTATGTGATGCATCACTATAAATCTGAAACTCCTCATTACCTGACGGTAGTACAAGAACCGGTGCAATCACTACCCTCGTCTTGAGTTCCTGGAAGGCTGATTCCCTATCCTCGGTCCATTCATACGCCACTCCTTTCTGAGTTAGTTGCGTCAAAGGTATTGCAATCTTTGAAAAGTCATTCACAAACTTTCTGTAATAACCGGCCAAACCCAGAAAACTACGAACCTCGGACACATTGGTCGGTGTCGGCCAATTCACAACGGCTTCAATCTTACTAGGATCGACTGAAATACCTTCTTCATTAATCACATGCCCCAAAAATGAAATGCTGAAAAGCCAAAACTCTCACTTGCTAAGCTTGGCATACAACTTTCTGTCTCTCAGAATCTGTAAGGCAAGTCTCAGATGCTTCTCATGCTCAACTTCACTCCTGGAATAGATCAATATATCGTCGATGAAGACAACCACAGATTCGTCTAGGTGAGGTTTAAAGACTCTGTTCATCAAGTCCATGAATGCTGCAGGAGCATTAGTCACTCCAAAAGGCATTACCAAAAATTCGTAATGGCCATATCTTGTCCGAAAAGTAGTCTTCTCAACATCCTCGGCTTTAACCTTGAGCTAATGGTAGCCCGACCTGAGATTAATTTTTGAAAAGGCTCGTGCCCCTTGTAGTTCATCAAGCAGGTCATCGATCCTCGGCAATGGGTACTTATTCTTAGGGGTTACTTTGTCCAGTTCTCGGTAATTAATACAAAGACGAAGTGTACCATCATTTTTCTTCACAAATAGAACTGGTGCTCCCCAGGGTGAAGTACTTGGCCTAATAAAGCCCTTATCTAACAACTCTTGTAATTGCACCTTCAATTCCTTATGCTCGCCTGAGGCCATTCTATAGGGTGTTTTGGAGATAGGATGGGTTCCCGACATAACGTCAACAGTAAACTCTATCTCTATCGACTAAACAGCCAGGCAAGTCACTTGGAAAGACGTCGGAAAATTCTTTAACAACTGGGATGTTGGCCAATTCAACGTTTCCACTCCGATTGCTTAATATGCTACACAAATAACCTTGACACCCTTTTTGAATCAACTTATAAGCCTTCATGGATGAGATCAAGTAAGGTGGGGATACCACTTCTTTACCCTGAAACATAACCTTGGCTTTGTTTGAGGGTCTCAATATGACACTTTTGGAAACACAGTTAATGGATGCATTATTTTCTACTAACCAATCCATTCCCAATATGACATCAAAGTGAGTTATGTCCAACGGCATCAAATCAACTAATAACATTCTCAATCATAACAACACATGCTCTATAAATAGATGCAACAGTCATAGTTTTTTTAGACGGAGTAGACACAGATAACACATAATCAAGGGGTTCTAATTCCTTATTCAACTTCTCGACAAACTTAGTAGATACAAATGAATGAGTAGAACCCGAATCAATCAATATATATGCATCTTGAGAGCAAATGGGAAGTATACCTGACACCATTGTCTCGGCACCTTGAGTGTCTCCTGGCACTAGAGCAAAAACTCTGCCTTGCCTTATCTATCCCTTCCCGATGTTGCCTTTCTGCGCCGGACCTGAGGTGTTCCCATTCTTCTTACCATCATCAGCCTTTGCCTTCGGACAGTCTTTCACACGATGCCCCGTCTCGCCACATTCAAAGCAAGCTCCTGACGCCCAACGACAGACCCTGAAATGTGGCTTTCCGTAACTCCCACACGTCGGCTTAGTATCACCCTCTTGATTCGAGTTACTGGCGCTGCCCACATTCGTCTTCTTCTTGGCGTTAAATGGAACTTGGCGATTATCATAATTCTGCCTCTTCTTTTGGTTCTCTCCGGAATTTTGATATCAGTTCAAGTTAGCTTCTGCCAGGATGGCCTTGTCTAACACTCCGACGTAAGTCGGCATGTTGAGCATGTTAACTCGATCCTATATCGGTCCACGCAGTCCGCTTTCAAACTACCTAGCCTTCCTATATTCATCATCGACCATATGAGGCGCATATCTCGCTAACTCGGTAAAAGCATGGTCGTACTCTGTCACTGTCTTATTGCCTTGTGTTAGAGTCTGAAACTCTGTGGTCTTACGATCCCGGACACTAAGGGAAAAGTGCTTGTTGTAGAACAATTCCAAAAATCTAGCCCAAGTCAAACCCAGATTACCTTCTCGGACCATCATCCACCATCTTCGAGCATCGTCGTCTAACGTGAATGCTGCTAATGACACCTTCTGGGCGTCGGTGCTGGGAAAAATCTCGAACAACTTCTCCATTTCCAAAACCCATGCTTTGGCTTTCATCGGCTCTATACCCCCTTGGAATCTTGGCGGGTTCATCTTCTTGAACTCTTTGATTAAGGTTATCGTACCGTTCCTATATAAAGCTTGTTATGGAGGCACTTGCAGCACTGGAGGAGGTGGAGGTGGAGGTGGAGCTTCATATCGGCCGTTTGTCTGCTCGGCCTGAGTAGAGGTGGTGCTGGTGTCTTGCGACCTAGGTTGTCTCAACTCATGGACCAAACCTGTAACGACCCCAAAATCCGTATTAGAGATTACCTTTACGGCCTATTGTGTTAATGCATTTTGATTTATTGATATGTGTTCAAATTGAGGAATTATTTGTTGAGCCACGACTGTAAAATTGAAATTACCGACCTTTACGGGTTCAGAAATCAAAATTGAGTACTTGGGTATTTTAATGGGAATTTTTAGAACTATTGGGGAAAATTAATTGGAAATCTATTTTGTCTGACTCGTTAATGCATGTTTAGGTGGTTAACTTTATACTGCAAATTGAAGGCCCTAGAGGCTTCAGAAACCAGAACAGAGGACATATTTATGATCAGCACAATTTTTAGAGTCACCTGGGAACTGTAATTGAAATTTAATTTTTCGCGATTCGTAAGGGCGTGTTTGGCTATTCCTATTGTTGAAAGCTTAGGTGTTGGTTATATATATATATGGTTATGCTATGTGAGTGGTGAACTTATCATTTGGAAGTCAAATAAAATATTTGGGGGAGAGAGAAGAGAACCGTGAGAGAGAGGGAAGGAAGAAGAGGAAAGCTCCTCTAATCAACACTCATGGGGTTTTGAAGATGCTTGAAGGGGGTGAAGAAAGAAAAAGAAGATCATCCATGGGAAGCTTGGGAGGAATTGGAGAAAGCTAGGAGAAAGACAAGGATGGAACTAGGGTATGATCATCTATCTCGAATCCTTATGTTTGAGACATCAATTTCATGAAATCATGATAATAAGGGAAGCTTTGAACCCATTTGAGTTAGGGTTTTATGTATACATATTGATGGAACCTTGATTTCCTTAGAATTTCTTGATTGAAGAAGTATAGGCATTATATTTGTGTATTTTGAGGTTATGATGGTTGATGGAGAATAATATTATGAAATTGGTCATGCATTAAAGGGTTTTGGACTTTGATTTACATGTAATTAAGGTTTGATTTTGAAAATGAAAAGCCCCAAAGTTTCAGCCATTTTCGGACAGCAATCTGCCCAGAGCCGCACGTGCGGCCCTGTTTCCCGCACGTGCGGGAGACAGCTTTGTCCAGCCATCTTTGAATGAGCATATCTTTTGCCTCGGGGCTCCGTTTTGAGTGATTCTTGAGCCTAAAATCAAGCCCCGGAAGTCTAGTTTCCAATGAAAGTGGTCTCACTCCCAAATTCTAAATACAAAAATAGTTATGCCCAAATTAGTGACGACTGTTCACTTTCTATCAACTAATTTTATACCATTTCTTCACCTAAACCATTTCCCATTGATTTCTCCTGTTTCTGTGACATGGAGTATAACTTATTAAGAAATAATGAGCTTGGTACCACCATGGCTAATTAAGTGAATGATCAAAGAGAATAAGTAAATGATCAAGTATAATCTCATATTATGTGTTGTGCACTGTACTTGTAGGTCGAGACGAGAACATCGTCCTATTACCACCGGGAACTGATCACTGTGAGTAGTAGTACAAAAATGTACATTTTATCTACTGTTGATAATTATTGTCACTAATGCTTTGTTCCTTGTAAGTGTTATAAGAACATTTATGCCAAGTGGAAAGCAATGTGAACTGCTGAAAGATTCGCGTACGTTGGTATGATTTTGGAATCCTTATGTTTTGTTAATGACGAATATTAGCCTTATGTTATTTCTTAAGGAATAAGTGGAACCTATGTTCATCTTTGAGGAATGATATTTGTGTGAATTTAAGATTATGTTACGAAGGGACCCAAGATCATTTAGAATCTATGATATGAATGTAAAGGTTTACCATCGGTATGCAACTCATATAAGAAGATGAATTGTTCTATTTTGTTAAGCGCATGCTAATGATATGATATAGCAAGAAGTGCTCAGGTTTCTCTCAACTTAATGAACGATTATTCATATATGTGGAAGTATTCACATCATTTTCAGCACAAGGCCCTTACCCAGGGGTAATAATACCGTGGT